AATATGTGTGCAAAGATTTCACCACAACCTAATTGATTTTTAAAGTATTTATATTTTTACATGTTGCTTTTGTAAGCAGTAAAACACTTAAATGCTAATTTTATTTATAATGCACTACTACCATCACTCCTACTTGATAAGAACTGCAGCGGCAGTGACTCCGAAAATGTTTCATTTCTGACAAACAGAGGAATTAAAACTGCCAGAATCAGGGAAGGCAAGATGGTTTGGGGGAAGCAGTGTATTTGGGTAGAATAAATACGGGAATTCTTGGACCTGGGTTTGGAATCTTTTTGCCTCTTAGCTACAGTTGTGATTTGGGGCTTTTTACTAACCTCCTCAAACAATTGATTTTTTTTTTTTTTCTTCATCAGTAAAGTAAGAATAGTTGAAGTATCTCCCCTGGGGTTGTTTCAGTATCAAATAAGATTAGTTTGGTAAAGTTTTTTTTTTTTTTTAAAGATTTATTTATTTATACATACAAGAGCTGGGGTACAGGCCAGAGATGCCTGGGGTGAGAGGATCACCAGAGACAGTGGGGTACAGAACAGGCAGACTGACTGAAACATGCTGCTGAGGGGAGCAACAGGCTAGACAGGAGAGGTCTGCTTCGCCATGTGGGTTGCTCCCTGGCCGGCTGGGATCGAACTCGTGCTACAGAGGCAGCGGATTGCTTCATAGTGCTGTGCTTAATCCCTTGCGTCACCAGGGAGGCCCCTTGTAAAGTTTTTTGTAGATTCTATAGTGTAGGAATGACAACCACCAATATTTATTGGGTTCTTTGTTCTGGGCATTATACTATGCACTTAATATTTTTAATTTAATTTTATATGTATTTTTACATCATTCTTCCTTTTTGTACAGTGCATGCTTTCTCTTCTCAGGTGTAGTCCCCACAAAATTCCCACCACCAATTCACCCATGCACCATCACCAAAGTCCCTTGTGTAAGAACACATTCCTTTACCTGTTTTGATCCCTCTCCCTCCCCTGCAATGTCTCTGTTTTATCGTGGCCTGTTAATTTTGTTTTTTAATTTATTATAATTTTTTTTTCCTGGTCCCTTATTTGGTTCTCCTACATTCCTCCTATAAATAAAACCATCTAATATTTTTTTTTCCTTCTGGCTTATTTCACTGAGCATAATCCCTTCCAGCTCCATCCATGTTGCTGCAAATGGCATGAGTTTATCTTTTGATTGCTGAATGGTATTCCATTGTTTATATATACCACATCTTCTTGATCCAGTTATCTATTTTGGGGTATTTGGGTTGTTTCCAAGTTTTGCCTTTTATAAATAGTGCTGCAATAACATTTTGAATTAATGTTTTTGTGTCCTTTGGGTTGATTCCTAGGAGTAGAATTTCTGGGTCATATGGAAGCTCCATTTTCAGTAGTTTGAGGAGTCTCCACACAGCTTTCCATAGTGATTGGACCAATTTGCATTCCCATCAGCAGTGTAGGAGAGTTTCTTTTTCTCTACATCCTTGCCAACATTTGTTCTTTACTGTTTTTTTAAATATGTGCCGTTCTCGCTGGTGAAGGTGGTATCTCATTGTGGTTTTGATTTGCATTTTCCTGATTACAAGTGATGTTGAATATTTTTTCATATACCTGTTGACCATTTGCATTTCCTCTTTGGAGAAGTGTCTTTTAGCTTTTCTGCCCATTTTTTGTCTGGATTATTTACTTGTTGAGTCCTATGAGCTCTTTGTAGATCTTTGTGATCAGTCCCTTATCAGTAGTGTGGGCATTGTACTATGCACTTGTGTGCAAAATTTTTTTCCCAGTCAGTAGATTGTCTCTTTGTTTTGGTTAATGTCTCTTTTGCTGTACAGAAGCTTTTTAATTTAATGTAGTCCCAGCTGTTCATCTTTTCCTTTACTTTCTTTGCTTTGGGGGGATGCGTCTTTAAAGATGTTACTGAGATGTATGTCATGTAGTGTTTTGTCTGTATTTTCTTATATATATTTTACAGTTTCAGATCTTATTTATCTTTTTTTGAGTCTTTTATCGATTTTGAGTTGGTATTTGTGTATGGTGTAAAGTAGTAGTCTAGCTTCATTTTTTTGCATGTAGCAGTCCAGTTTTCCCAGCACCATTTATTGAACAAACTGTCCTTATTCCATTGCATATTCTTTGCACCCTTGTCAAAGATTAGTTGTCCATAAATATGTGGGTTTATTTCTAGGTTTTCTATTCAATTCCATTGGTCTGTGTGTCTGTTTTTGTTCTAGTGCCATACAGATTGTTGTTTTGTTTGTTTTTTTTTTAAGTGCCATACAGTTTTAATTATTATGGCTTTGCAGTATAGTTTGAAGTCTGGGAGTGTGATACCTCCATTCTCCTTTTTGGTCAGGAGAACTTTGGCTATTTGAGGTTTTTTGTACTATACACTTTAAAGGTGTTACCTCATTTAATTCCTTATATCATCAACCTTGTATGGTTATTACACTCTTTTGTAAGGAAAGAAGTTGCAACAGAGAGACTAAGAACCTGCCCAGAGCCTCAGTAATCAAAGTTAGAAGATATTGCGGGGGTGGGGAGAGACGTGTTCCAGGATCTCTTAGGAGCTTCATATCTCACCAGAATACAAGTACATGGGAAGGGAGCACCTAGAGGAAATACCCTACTAATAAGGGTCTCTTTCTTTGCTGATTTGATAGCTAAATTATTGTAGGTTTGGGGACATACAGGAAACTCTGAGAGTTAGAGCTGTTAAGATTAATTTGTATGGGGCCTCCCTGGCAGGGGTTAAAGTCTCAGTGCTATGAAGCAGTTGCCAGCCACTGTGGCATGAGTTCTGCCTGAGTTCTATCCTGGCCAGGGAGCTTACCCACGTGGTACAGCAGACCTCTCCTATCTCGACTGTTCTGCTCCCCACTCTGTCTCTGGTGAATCCTCTCCCCTGCCCCCCCCCCCACCTCTGGTGTATACCCCAGTTCTTGTATGCATAAATAAATAAAAATAAATATTTTAAAAAAAGATTTATTTATTTATACAAGAACGGGGGCACAGGCCAGATGTGCAGGAGGGTGAGAGGATTCACCAGAGACAGAGCGGGTAACAGAACAGGCAAACTGACAAAATACATTGCTGAAGGGAGCAGCAGGCAAGACAGGAGAGGTCTGCCTCACCATGTGGGCATCGCCGCAGCAGGCTGGGATTGAACCGGCAGAGGCTGCGGACAGCTTCACAGCCTGTGCTCAACCGCCTGTGCCACTGGGGAGGCACAAATAAAAATAAATCTTAAAAAAAAAAAGAAGAGTTTATATAGGCTTAAAATGTAGTGGTCTTATTCAACATTTAAGTAATAATCTAGAAAAGGAAAAACCAGAAAGCCTTAAATAGTGAGAAGACAGATTTTTCTCCTGAGATTGGAGGGGGGTTGTACATGTAAGAGGAGTGAATAGAACCATGACACAACAGCTGCAATGGGGTTGGTTTTGAAAATATGTTGAGAGTATATTTTGAAGGTGGCGGGCTCTTAGCTATCAGTTAATGATTGCCTAGCAGGTGATCCTATAGACATTTTATATTGTGTACCTGTCATCTCTGTTGTCCCTCCCCCACCACCACCACTTTCGTCCCCTTTAACCTTAGTCTCAGAAATCCTTCTGTCACCAGAGAGCATATGTAAAACAAAACCTATTTATGTTTAATAAAAAACATTATCAGAATTCTCATTATTGTACACAGAGAAAAAGCATAATGGAACTAGACCAAAGTCAACAATAGGCAATTAAATAGTGAAAGAAATGTAGCAGTTTTCACTGCAGTATGTTCCTGAGAACATACTGAAAGGGTTAGGATTTATTTGAAATGAAAGTTTAGCAAAGATGTAATTACTTTCTAAATTTAATTACAGAATATATCAATAGATGAAGGTAGACTGATTTACCAAATTGTCTGCCATCCTCACCACTTAGCTCTTATACACACTGGAGACAAGGTCCTGACATATGAGAGGATACTGCCTTTTTAAAAGATCATGCCCTGGGCCTCCCTGGTGATACAAGGGATTAAGACGCAACCTGTGGAGCTATCCACAGCCACTGGTGCATGGGTTTGATCCCCGGTGAGGGAGCTATCCACGTGGTGCAGCAGACCTCTCCTGACTTGCCTGTTGTTCCCCGCAGCAGTGTATTTCAGTTAATCTGCCTGTTCTGTTCCCCTCTGTCTCTGGTGAATCCTCTCCCCCCCACACCTCTGGCCTGTACCCCAGCTCTTGTATGCATAAATAAATAAAAAAAAAAAAGATCATACCCTTGTACCACTAAGAAGTTTGAAAGCACTATGCTTTTGAGATACATTCATGTTAAGTTTGATTGCCCTCGACCCCGTTCCTACTAGTTTTTAAAACCTGAGTAGTTCAATGGCAAGATATTTAATAGAATGGTGATCCATGTAAATACCTTGTTTTCTTCAGAAATAATTGGTTAAAACACAAGTAGGTAGAAAATAGATTTACTACCTAGAAGTTACTTTGGTTGATTATGTTGTAGGGAGAAATCAGTATGTCCCCTTTTTCAGGTGCAAGGAATATGTGGAGATAATTCCACTATCAAAGCTTGTACAAAATTTCCAACATAAGGAGATTATGATGCTGCATGGTTTTGCTGTTCCAAATCAGCAAAAAAGACTTAACAAAATACAGACCTTCATGGAGGCCGGTGAAATAATAAAATACATATTTATAATGCTCTTCAGTGTTGTTATAAAAATGCTTTCACATACTATGAAGGTGAAGCTTGAACTGGCTTGCAGGATTTTTTTTTTTTTTTTTTTTCTTCACAGCTCTACGGTCTCAGTTCTATTTCTAAGTCATTTCTTTTCTGAAGCCATCTCTTTAGTTAGTGAGGTGTGTCATGATCCTTTCGTTCTTACTATTGTAATTGCTGTGACTTTTAGGACTGTGTTTACAAAAATAGTTTTATGATTATATAGAACTATATTTTTAAAGTGCTTTGCTTATTTCTTTCTTTTTTTTTTTTTTCTTAGATCTGTTCTGAGGACCAAGATTCATTTGGGGGATGGTTACAGAATTGAACCATGGTAGGCAATGAAAGATACACATTCAAATGAATGAAACATCCATACTGAAGGGGAGTTACCTTTAGGTTGAAACTGCTCAGGTGTAAGTTGAAGAATTCAGTGTCAGTCAGTTTACTTCTTAGGTTTCATAGGTCAATTTTATTCTAACATTCTAAGGTTATAGAGGAATTAATGTATAGCGGACTTTGGGAAATATTGGATTAAGTGATTAAAGTATGCCATTAAGAATTAATCTTGAGATGCTTTTATTTTGCTGGGAGAAGCTAGTATTTACAATAATCATATGTGCCATCAATGTGCAAACAGGAATCAGTTCCTGGGGTGGAGGGTGGTAAGCCTGATGTATAACTTACAGTGTCCATATATTTTAACACAAAATAAACAAATAAAGATTGAGCTCAATTATTAAAAAAAAAAAAAAAAAAAAGAATTAACCTCGAAATAGTTTCTTGAAAAACAAAGTTCTGAAACCAACTATAAACCACATCCTCTCTTGGAGTTAATTTCACAGTAAGGTCAGATCTTATTCATTGAATCATTGTTTGTAATAGTCAAATTAGAAACTTAAATATTCATAGATAGGAGAGTGGAATCATAGACTATAGAGCAGTTAAAAAAGGAATGAACTAGGTTTCAATCTTTCAACATGGATGGATCTCTAGAACATTAATTTAGAAAAACATTGCAGAATCAGAAGGATGTATGTAGTACAAAGTTTATATTTTCTTTAAAAACTACATGCTTTTACCAGTACACCTGTACAGTATAAATGCATTTTTGTCAAGTCTGAGAGGAGTCATAACAAACAAGTAGTGATAGTTACTTGGAAGAGTTACTGAGATTAGAAGTGGTGATCAACAGGTCCTTCTTTGCCTTATCTGTTAAGTTTGAATTTTTAGAAGGGAATTACTCTATTAGTTATTATAAAAAGTAAATAAATAAAAATGAAATGCCTATTAAATTCCCTCATTGGAGGTAGCTACCCTGCTAAGTTCCATAGATCTATTTATTGATTCATTGTATACAAGTTGGACTGGGTTTTGAGCTCTGATACTATATAGGCTAGAAAGAAACTATTTTCATTATAGCCCATTATAATGAAATTATTCATTATTTTAAAGGATAAATGATTGCTTATTATAAGGAGTAATTTATCCGAACAATCTAATCTTTACAAATTCTCAAGAGATAGGCCTATTCAAGCTTGTTTTTTTGTCCAAGAGATCTTTTGGAGAGCAACAAAGAGAGGTTTGAACTTGGTACTTGAGCAGCTAGAGAAGAGTTGAAAGCAGCAGCTAATGAGTGAAACATTATCATTCAGAATCAGGTGAGGCTAAAACAGAGCTTCTCTTAATGTTCCAGTGTCAGTGGTGCTCTTTCCAGTTCCATGAGCCTTCTGTAGCCCGTTCACTACTCTTGATTTTGACCACTTGAGGGCGGTGGTGACTGTATTTGGCTTTACTAATTGCTGGGTGTCAATTTTAAGTGATTTTTGGTGTAAATATGGTTTTTTCTTTAATAAAGAGTAATCCTGAAAAAGCTGTGTCCAGCTATCAAGTTTTCTATCAGAACATTCACTTTAGTCCCTCAGTTTGTCTTATATTATTCTAAGAGTCACTGCCTGAAAATAAAAGATTTCATCAGCTGAAAGTACTTCTTTAAAATGTCTTCAGGTACATGTATTGGCCCATCTTTTCAAAGTGCATTTCCCTATTTCACCTAAATTAAAACAGGGACAGGGACTAACCAATCCATTTGCTTAAAAATGTATTAATACAGGTTATGAGGGATTCAAAATTTAGTCACTAATGTTTGTTGGTGCCAGTAAATCACTGTCTTCCGTGACCTCACTTCCTAAAATGGTGTTAGCATGCAATCATATACGTAACAATTGTTGATGATGTAAGATGATTCTTCCACCAGAACACCAAGTGGAAATCTGCACAGCACAAGCTGTGTGAGTGCTAAGTAGGGTGAACTTCAGGAATGTTTCCAGTAGTTGGGCAGCCCCCATAGATGGAGAGTCTGCTAGGTGTGATTACCTGGAAGAAAGGTATGACCCCCTCCTGGGTGGCCCTTCTCTCCTAATCATGCTTTGCAGACTGGCAGCCACTCAGTGTGTGTTGTTCATGATGATTGTGTGCTGCTGGGGGGAAGAGACAGTCTTATAGTCAGTGGTATCTTGGTGTGATTTTGAGGTGGGGGTTGGAAGCTGATACAGAAAGTGAGAGAAGACTTACAGACCAGAACTTAAGCATTAGCAGGCAAATTTGCCTGTTTTTTTTTTTTTTAAAGCACAGGTGACTTCTATTTTCATTTCTCACACTAGCATTACGGTTGTGATTGTTTTGTTTTGTTTATTTCTTCACTTCTGGTGCTTAATAGTTGCAGGAGTATATGTCTCAATTTTAAAAACATATGTGGACAGATTTTCTTTAACTGACCAGTTGGACTCTTCTTTCTCTACTTAGTGTCTCTATGGTATAAAAATTACCAAGTTATAGTACTACCATTTTATGTGTAGAATTGATCGTGAATATGACTAAAGTCAGTGGATTTGATGTTTGCTTATGGATAAAGCTTAAAATTATTCCCTAATAGCAAGTGTATTAACATTTTCAGTGCTTTGGTAAAGGCTGTTTGAATCAGCGTAATTCCTCAATGTAAAATCACAAATGTTTGAGATATCATTTCTCCTCAGAACAAGAATGAGAGCCGTGTTAGTTCTCTACTTTGGATTTCATACCATGAAAGTCCTTGGGAACTGCTTTAGAGAGAGTTCTAAATCATGCGTATTTCCTGTCTTCCAGGATTTCTCTCTAATCCAGCGGACAGTTCAGGAGACAGAGTTCGAGGATGAATGTTCACTGTGGTGGTGAGAGTGACAGGCTGTTGCGCCAGGAGGCCAGCTGCCTCATGGATGAAAACTCGGCTGCAGCCCAAGAAAAAGAAGCAAATAGCCTGGTTTCTTCTGGTCTTCAAAATCTTAGTTATCCTCTAGGTTCCAGGAGTGATGGTAAGGCGATTAGATCTTGACTTAATTTAGAGGGGCCCACTCCACCCAGAGAGCCTAGATGTTCTTAGTCTAAATAAAGTACCCAGTTAATTGGCTTAGCTTGCATGTCAGAGTCATAAAGCTGGCCTTCACAGTCTCTACTTACAGCACATCTAACTTAGCAAAATAGTTTAAGAAAAATAACCATAGGCTTAGAGTGGGAAGACAGATTCAAATTCTAGCTCTGTCACTAATCGGCTGTAGTCTTTTGAGCCCTGCTTTCTTAATCTGGAAAACAGAGATATTAATATTCTTCCTATTTCACAAGGCTAGAAATTTGTTAAGTTAATGGATATGAAACTTTTTTTTTTTTTTAAAGATTTATTTATTTATACAAGCACTGGGTACAGTCAGAAGCGCGGGAGGGTGAGAGGATTCACCAGAGCCAGAGTGGGGAGCAGAGCGGGCAGAGTGACGAAGTACACTGCTGAGGGGAGCAGCGGGCAGCAGGAGAGGTCTGCGCGCCATGTGGGACCCTTGCCTGGCGGCCAGGGATGGAACCATCTCTGAAGAGGCTGAGGGCAGCTTCGCAACCCAGCACTCAACCACTGCGCCACCCGGGAGGCCCTGAAACTTCTTGATAAGCTGTTAGGTTCACTTAATAATAATGTAATAAGAATTCTAGTAATAAACAGTGGTGGCAATTGGAATTTTTTATTGAGCACTCACTGTGCTAGGAACTTCACATTTTTTTTAATCAGAGGATTGAAATACAGCCATCATTTTTTGCTACAGTGACAGAGACTAATGCACAAAGCCCAAAATAGGTGCTTTTATAGAAAGTTTGCCAATCCTTGCTAAGATTAATCTTCACAAGAACTATTATTCTGCTTTTATAGATATCGAAACTAAGGTTTGGAAAGCTTAGGTAACTTGCGCAGGTTCATACTACTAGGAGTTGTAGGACTGGGATTTGAACCTATCTTTCTGACTAGGCAATGATGTTAATTTATATATTTCAACAAATAGAAAAGCAGGGTGTGACTGCCATCTTAGCGTACACCATTAGGGAGAATTTGTGCAATGAGCTGCTTTTTCTGCTCATCCATTTAAGAAGGGCACCCTCCAGGAGTCAACCCACTCTAATGACTTTCACTGCTGGGAAAAAAACTGTTAAGAACTGATTAGTTAATTTAGTTACCTGCTTTCATTTAAAAACAGCACTTGGAGTGTAAAAACCTGTTTTGGCAATAAAAGAGTTTCTTGCTACAAACTTGCCTGTGAATTATATGGAAATTATCTCTTGGTATGTAAACACAGGGACACACTGAAATTTATCAGAAGCTGTGAACTCTAGGCTTTTGCTCTAGATTTTGGTTTCCTTTTTTCTAGAAGCAGTGGAGGGAATTGAGTATACGCTAGTACCAGTCTATTTGGTTTAGGACAGGCAGTAATTATGTTCATGAGTATATAAATTTACAGTGTTACTTCAATTTAAAAAAAATTTTTAATGTAAATTACATGTGGGGTGGGAACAAGACATTCAGTTGTATCTACAACATTTCTTTCCAAAATGGTTTGAAGAAAATGTAGAAAAATGTTAAAACTAAGCTTGCCAAAGATGATGGTATATACATGTTGTAGTAATTCTGTGCCTCAGTATGTTTGAATTTTTCACTAAAAACGTTTTTCATATTAAAATATATTAGAACTGGCCATTTTTGAATCCTCTGGTAATTCTGTTGTAAATAGTTCCCCCTTATATATTACATCCCGACTTTTAAGCCTGTTTTGCATAATACAGCAGTGTACGTTTTTAAGTACTCTCATATACTGTGTTTCAGTTGACAGTCAAAACTGTTATGTGAGGTTGACAGAGTGAACATTTATTCCCATTTCCTTGATGTTAAAATAGGTTTAGAAAAAACTAAATCACTTGAAGAAATTACCTCTCTGGTGGAATTAGAACAAAAACTAAGATTCCATGAATGAATCCTAATCCATGGCCACTGGGAGCAAGACCTGCCTGTTTGAATGAATAGATGAGGTTATTAGGATTCTTTTGTGCGTAGAGAAAATGCATTTGTCTATGAATTTCTAGTTAAAGGGATTCATTGGACTATTAGAGACTACCATCATCCTTTCTGGAAAATAAAAGTTAAAGACATTTTTTAAAGAATGTGGACATAAATAATTGACTCACAGAAGTATTAATTTTCTGAAATAAAACACAGGCAATAAGTATTATTTAGAGATAAAAGCAGGGGAAAAAAAAAAGTAATCATCTCTGTGAAACAAGACTAGAGGAAGCAATAGGGTCTGACAGGAGATTGATGGTTTTCTACAGAAATTCTTCTCTAGTGTTTGTTTTTTTACCATATGTGTAAATTTACTTAAAATTTAGAAATCATTTTAAGTATAGGCATTCCAAAATGTAAACATAGGGAAAAATCTCAAGGGGCTTTAATGAATCTTAAGTTTTAATTTTTTTTCATTCCTCTAGACAGGAGTTTTTGCCTGCAAACACCTAAATTTGGCTTTTTGCTTATTTAGTGTGTTTTTTTTACAATCACAGAACTTATTTTCCCCCAAATGCTTTTTGCTGTCAAGTTATTTTTGTCTTTGTGATCTTTTAGACCTTTCACTTGACTACACCTCCCAGCCAGCAAATCTTCAGTTCCCTCACATAATGCCACTTCCTGAAGACTTCAAAGGCTCTTGCTTCCAGAGTGGGAATAAACGGAACCATGAACCCTTTATTGCTCCAGAACGATTTGGAAACAGCACTGTGGGCTTTGGCAGTGGCCTTCATTCCCAGGCACCAGAGAAAGTGACACTTCTTGTAGATGGCACACGTTTTGTTGTGAATCCGCAAATTTTCACTGCTCACCCAGATACCATGTTGGGAAGGTAATTGATGATGATTTCCTTTCAAATTCACTGTGTTCTCTGAATAAAAAGACCTGCTATCTATCTTGCATTAGATGTGAGAATTAAAGGCTTATTACTTATTTTTCTATCTTATTGTGAGACAGGCAAGCCAACCTGGTAAAACCTGATGTTGATTTTTTTTGGGGGGGAGAGTACATACTTTATTACACAGCCAGTGTTGTGGAATGGGCCCCCTAAAAGGAAGCACAATCAGAACTACGGAAAGTAGCCCACTAAATCTCACCCCCTAAATCTCTATAAACTGACTGTAAAATAGAAGTCAGCTACTTAATTTCTTTTATCCACAATTTGTACAACTTCACAAAAGTAATGTTTTCTGAGTTCCACAGATCAGAGGTACTGAGATAAGGTGAAGGTGAGCGCTAAGTAACATATTTTCCCTTGGAAAAAAAATGAATTAGGCAACTTCCACAGGACACAAAAACAAAGCCATTTTACTAAAAAGCCTGCCCTCTGTTGCTAGTTGTGCTTGGCAATAGATGCTGTGCTCTTCCTAATGCCTCCCTCACTTTTCAGGTTTTCTGAAATTGATTAGATCTGGCTGTTTTTTGTTTTGTTTGTTTTTTTTTTTTAATTTTTTTTTTTTTTTAATGATTTGTTTATTTATACAAGCACTTGGGTACAGTCAGAAACACAGGAGGGTGAGAGAATTACCCAGAGCCAGAGCAGGGAGCAGGACAGGCAGACTGACGAAGTACACTACTGAGGGGAGCAGCGGGCGGCAGAAGAGGTCTGCGCGCCATGTGGGACCCTCACCTGGTGGCTGGGGATCGAACCGGTGCTGCAGAGGCTGTGGGTAGCTTCGCAACCCAGCGCTCAACTGCTGCACCACCAGGGAGGCCCTATCTGACTGTTTTTTGTTTCATAATTGCACTCTATTCTTCATGTTATCTGGGCTGCTTCATCAGACAGAAATCTCCTCCTTTGATGTTCTTCTGTCTCTAGAAGAGTTTAGGATATGAAAAGTGCCTGCTTGGAGCCAGTGACCCTCTTTCTAGCCCACCACAGCCCTTAACATGAGGAAGAGCAAGTTGGATAAGAGTAAAATAATGTTACTAATGTTTATGTGTATACAGACACACATTTGACTGAGGGTTTTAACTACTTGGAAGTAGATGTTGTTTTATTTAAGGATCTAACCTCACTCAGGGCTTTGAACTGAATTAGAAATCAGAATGAATCACATTAATTCACTGAACTCTAAGCCAAAGTGAATCTACCTCAAGTGTGTGTATATTTGAACGTAAACATTATAAACTCATGCTAGACCATTTTTAACCATAAGCAAAACAATATAGTTCTCAGATCTGAATTAAGATTAAACCAGAACGATAAAACATTTTCCAGACTAGTCCTATATTTGATTGAACTGGACTTTTGGTTCTCAGTATCACCACCATTATTGCCCCCCGGACCTATCAAGGGAAGAAAGGCAGGCGTTTTCTGGGCAGTAGATTCTTGGGTAACACTGGTTCTTTGACTCTAGTGGTAGGTTTCCCCATGAAGAGGAGAGTTTGATTCTTTATCTAGATATTTTTAGATACAGAAACCAACTGTTGGCCAGGGTCACAAATTCTGAGACTTGAGTAAGTTTGCTCTGTGTTTTGGCTACATACAGTATTCATTAGCTTAGTCACTGAACTAACCAATGGGACCATCCATCACAAAAGAAACAAGCTGAGAGACTGAATGGATTAATATAAATCCATGCCACTACAGATAAACAACTGAGCTTATTTAGGTCTGGCCAATGATAGATGTGTGTGTTGGGGGGCGTATTTGTGGCATTTTGCCCACTGTTTTCATTAATAGCTATCTTGACTTCAGCCAGAACATTCCAGAAAAATGTCAGCAATTTTTGAAGACTACTTTTATCAGGATGGATTTCTTATGAATGGTGCAGTGATTTGGAAAGCATGTGGTATGAAGTCTTTCAGACCTTTAAGAAGCAGCTAATGCAGGGTAGAGGATACCAGTTGTGAAGAGTTAAACAGGGTTCCCAGCAGAATAAGGAAGGAAATAGCAGTGAATTCCCATTGGGAATTCAGGCTGGCTGAAGATACCAGTTGCCTACCTTGGCCTTTGTGCTGGCTTCCTATCCCATGACATTCATTTTCTCTCTCTTTTTCTCTCTCATACACACACAAAACACACACACACACACACACACACACACACACACACACGGTAATAACAAGTCATGAGCCAGTTTCACTGGGAGGGATCTGAGAAAGGGGAGGAAGGTTGGGAAGGGATGAGTAAGGAAAGCAACACCTCTACCTTGTGCTCCCATGACCCAGAGCAGGTACCTCTCTGAACTATGTCAAACTGCTAATCAACCTAGTAACTTACCCTTCTTTCTACTTGACCTGAAATGCCCATCATTAGAGTTACTCCTTGAATTAAAGATCTTTTTTCCAGGGCCTCCTGGTGATGCAGGGGTTAAAGTCTCAGTGCTATCAAGCTTTCGCCAGCCACTGCAGCACAAGTTCGATCCCCAGCCAGGGAGCTGACCCACATGGCACAGCAGACCTCTCCTGTCTCGCCCACTGCTCCCCTCAGCAGTGTATTTCAGTGGATCCACCTGTTCTGTTCCCCACTCTGTCTCTGGTGAATCCTCTCACGCCCCAGCACCTCTGGCCTACACCCCAGTTCTTGTATGCATGCATAAATAAAACTTTTTTTTTAATAAAGGACCTTTTTTCTAGAGCCCACAATTAAAATGCATTAGGAAAGGGAAAGCATTAACATATCTACCTGCTACTGCTGATAGACAAGGGGAAGGAATAGGAAAGGTCAGGGGCATGAGACACACTGTCTTCCTGAGTTGCCTTCTGACTCCTGGGCAGGGGGAAGGGCTTGAGAGGCAGCCCTCACACATTCCAGAGATTTTCCCAGAGGTCCAGCTTGCAGGTGTGGTTTTTACTTCGTTTGCTATCACCCACACTAACTACCGGGGAATCCTGAAGACTTGCTGCCTCATTCCTTTTTGCATTCAAATGCCAAAAGCAGTTGTTGTCTTTTCCTGTCTGAAGAGAATTTCCTAAGTCTTGAACAGATTTTTTTAGGGGCTGACTCTTAATACTGTGTTTTTAACTTATACTATGAGAGAGAACGGAGTCTTCCAGAATGGAATGCAGAACAGAGAAATCTCATCTGTGAAGAATCCTGCTGGAGATGATAATGTTGTTGCCTGGTTATCTTTCAGGATGTTTGGACCAGGAAGAGAGTATAACTTCACAAGGCCCAATGAGAAGGGAGAGTATGAGATTGCCGAAGGAATCAGTGCAACTGTATTTCGAACGGTGCTGGTGTGTAGTAGCCTTTTTGTTCTATCCCTTTCCCAGGGGCATGCGTAGTCACTTGCCTCGAGTGTGCCATCGAACTATGTGCTGAAGTAGAGTCTCTAGTTTCCATTTGCTGCCTTTCCCTCTTTTTCTGAATGTGGCTGATAAGTCCTTCCTGCTTACATGAAGTCAGTCAGGTATCAGATTGTGATTAAATGTGTCAGCATAACCAGGAGCCACTTTGCCATCCAATGAATCAACCCACTTGGTGATAGTCCTAGAAACGCATCACTTTAACGGAACCAGAAAGAAAGAGGGGGTTGAAGAGGTATTTTTTTTTTATCATATTCTCTGCTACATTTCGTCTTCCTAATCTGTTTATAGGATTATTACAAAACTGGTATCATCAATTGTCCTGATGGCATCTCTATCCCTGACCTCAGAGATACATGCGATTACCTCTGCATTAACTTTGACTTCAACACTATCCGGTGTCAAGATCTGAGTAAGTACAGGAGCAGCTGAACTTCGAGTTTGCTTGGAATTAACTGATATTTTTTTATTACCAGGCAGAGGTAGTTTCAGTGGTACGTTGAAATTCCTCTGCAGGGCAGAGACATAATACACCTACTCTCTCTCGCTTCAAAGCACTGTGAGGAAGTAAACAAAGGAGAACATGTAGTGGGTTCTAATTTTGCCTGACCCATGAGTCACCAAGCTAATTGCTTCCCCTCTGGGGACCTTGGTATCTTAACTCTAACAAATAAGGATACTGATCGTCAGATACAAGAAAAATGGTTTACTAATGAAGTCAGACAGCATAAATTGGCTGGGTTCTTAGATAGATCCGCCTCAGAGACACTGTGGGTTCAGTTCCACACCGCTGCAATAAAACAAACATCCCAATAAAGCAAGTCACATGAGGTTCTCGATTCCCAATGCCATAAAAGTTATGTTTACACCATACTGTAGTCTATTCAGTGTGCAATACCATTATGTGTAAAAAAATAGTAATAATAATAATTATTAAATGTGACACAGAGCCACAAAGTGAGCACATACTCTTGAGAAAATGAGCCTGATACTTGCTTGGCACAGGATTGCCACAAACCTGCAGTATGTGTGCAGCACAGTAAAGCAAGTTATGTCTGTAATTACTTTTATCATTATTATTAGTGTTTACTAAGTGTTGTATGCATGTGAACTTGTTTAAGTCTTATAACACTTAACTCTGAAAGATGGGTGATAATCTCATCAAATTAGCTTGTTCAAAGCTCTGAGCATTAAAGCTAAGATTAGAACTGATGTCTCAAAGTCCATGCTCTTGCTACTGAGGTTTAAAATTATTAAAGGATTATTCTTTAAAGTCTTAGTATTTCCTCGCATATTCCATGAAGTTTTCTGGACTTTCGGTTTCTCTACTGGACCTAGTACACACTTAGAGCAAATTCCTTTCTTTTGCCAAACTTCAGATTACTCCTCTTTTGTGGGACTCTTAAATCCAGTTGGAATTCAGAGCTTCTTCAGAAGAAGTGCTATGAAGAGTCATCCCCAAATGATGGTGTTCGCCTTCTTAGAGAGTTAATGTTTATGGTCTGACTTTGTATGTCCAACAAAACCTGAATTGATTATAATCCTCAGGGATTATTAAACATGAGTAAATTGAATAGTGGTAGACTGTGAAACATCTCTCACAAAATCAGCTTAATGTCACGTTGAGGCCAAACAATCTCTTTGCTTTTACATGGGACATTTCGTTGGATCTTTTCAATGATAACACTGTTACTTCAGTCATTTTTACTCTAATACTGTGTACATTTGGGGGAGTAACATGTTCATATGCGTTTTCTCTCCAGGTGCTTTACTGCATGAACTGTCTAATGACGGTGCTCACAAGCAGTTTGATCACTACCTCGAAGAGCTGATCCTGCCCATCATGGTGGGCTGTGCCAAGAAAGGGGAGCGAGAGTGCCACATCGTCGTGCTCACGGATGAGGATTCTGTGGACTGGGATGAAGACCACCCCCCTCCCATGGGGGAGGAATATTCCCAAAGTAGGGGCCCCCTGTATAGCTTAGATGCTTTCAGCAAGAAATATGTTGCTCAGAGCAGTCACTGGATCCTAGAACTAATGTGCACACCACAGCCAAACCAGTGACAATGTGCACTCTTACCCAGACGACACACTCAGGTCTAGCTTTCATACTGGCTAACAGTGTGGGTGTTGCTGCACCTCCCACTGCTACACCTGATGTCTGTTACTGTAGTCAGTACTGAGCTAACATAAATAATGGTGTCATCTCCATTTCATGTTTAAATCCTTTTGAATTGGTAATTAAAAATTCAAAAATTATAAAGGATATAATGAAAAATCTTGCTCTCATCACTACCTCTTCTACCCAGTTTTCCTTCTCAGTTTATATCATTCCAGATACAGTCACTGTGCATACATAAGCAATTAATGTAGTCTTCCTTTGTGTCCAAGCAATTCCTTTTTTATGGCTACATAATATTCTACTGTATACCTATGCCATTGTTGATTGAACCAGCCTCATTGATAGCATTAAGCAACAAATTATAAATGATGCTGTTGTGAATATTTTTAAAGTCTTTTCATACATTATCTCTATAAATAGAATTTCTCTATCAAAAGCTTTATGCTCTAACAATTTTGATAGATATTGCCAAATTGTCCTCTCACAAAACAATATGACAGGTTTCCCAGGCCATCTCAGAACAGGTTTTACTTTTATTTTTGCCATTCTGATAGGTAAAACACATTTCACTTGAGTTTTAATTTGCATTTCTCATTTCCTGAATGAGGCTGAACATCTTTTAATTTTTAAGAGCCATTTTAATCTCCTTTTCCATGTTAATTCTTTTTTGCCCACTACAAAATTGAATTGTCTTTTACTCTTTGTGACCACCCTCCTTTATATGTATTAAGGAAAATTAACTATGAGTTGGAATATTTTCCCCAGCTGATTGCCTTTTTCATTTGTTAATGGTGGTTTTGGCTGTTTGTAGATGTTCTAATTTTATGTAGTCAAGTGTATCAATTCTTTTATGGCTTCTACGGTTTTTGTCATATTCAAAAAGGCCTCCTCCACCCTGAAACAAACAGTTCTTCAGATGGTTTCTTTCCTGTGACTGATTTTAATCTGGCGTCAGGTGTACCTTTCATTAATCTGATCCCTTGAGTTCATCCCCTCCTCCTCACAGGGGTCCACACACCATGACTAATCCAGCTCTTGTTTTTTCTCCAGTTCTTTACAGCTCCAAACTCTATAGATTCTTCAAATATATTGAGAATCGGGATGTTGCTAAAACAGTATTAAAGGAACGGGGCCTGAAAAACATTCGCATTGGAATTGAAGGTAAACATGCTCTTGCTTAATATTCGGCTCACATGGTTTATGAAGGAGGTTTTGGCTCTATGGCCGCAGCTTATCTCCTTAAAACTCAACTTCCAGAGGACCTAGAGAGTAGGCACATGTGAGAACTACATTCCTACCCAAGTTTGAAGGATTCTTAAATTTGTTTTTATTTGCCCTTACATTTCATTTTATTTCTAGTTGAAAATGCTTTAAAACAGCGATAGGAATATGTTCCAGGTTACTGTTTCACCTTAGAGAGCAGTGAGGGCTAAGGACACTGGTAGGTAAAGGTAGCAAGCTCATGGGCTCACCAAGTGGGAGGCCACCATTTTAGCAAATCTTGGTGAGGCTCTTTCTGGGACCTGAAGGGGTCCTTCTACAAACTGTAGCTTGGGGTCTCAAAGCTTAAGATTATTCCACCACATACCATTGAAGAATGTCTGGATGTGTTTACAGCACTGCTTTATGATCTTGAGCAATGGTTTCCAACCTGTGGTCTCTCTGGAATGGTCACAGAGACCAATTCTTTCTTCTTTTTTTTTTTAAGATTTATTTATACAAGAACCGGGGTGCAGGCCAGAGGTGTGCGGGAGGGTGAGAGGATTCACCAGAGACAGAGTGGGGAGCAGAACAGGCAGACTGACTGAAATACACTGCTGAGGGGAGCAGCAGGTGAGACAGGAGAGGTCTGCCTGCCATGTGGGTTGCTCCTCCCATTTCCATGTGACAGCCTTTCAGTACTTGAGACAGCATCCCCGTTTTTTCTTTTTTTTTTTTTTTTTTAAAGATTTTTATTTATTTATATAAGCACTGGGTACAGTCAGAAGCGCGGGAGGGTGAGAGAATTCACCAGAGTCAGAGCAGAGAGCAGAACAGGCAGACTGATGAAATACACTGCTGAGGGGAGCAGCGGGCTGCAGGAGAGGTCTGCCGCTCCATGTGAGATCCTCGCCGGCGGCCGGGGATAGAACTGGCGCTGCAGAGGCTGCAGGCAGCTTCGCAGCCCAGCGCTCAACCACTGTGCCACCAGGGGAGGCTCCCCTATTTTTTCTTTTGACTAAATGTTCCACACTTCTCCAGCCACACTCATATAGTGTGCCCTCTAAGCGTTAGAGGAGTGGAGTAGCTGTACCCTGGCTGAATTTTTGCTCTATAATATTGCTGCCTATACTATAAAGGCTTCAGAAAGTAGAAGGGACAGAATTTTTGTTACTTCCCTTCTAAGAACAAGACCTACTAACCTGAGTAGGAGGGAAATGAGTATGTTGGTGCTTGGGGCTTATAGGGCATGGTCAAGGACTAGTCCCTTCCCTGGTAGTTTTTATGACTAGTCTTTGGATTTGGGAGGAAATTGATGTAGTCAGGAAGGAGGAAGTATGTAAACCAGAATGAGCAATTTCTGGATGGCCTTTTCCTCTCTTTCAGGTTACCCCACCTGTAAAGAAAAAATTAAGAGGCGACCTGGTGGCCGGTCTGAAGTCATCTACAATTATGTACAGCGCCCCTTTATCCAGATGTCATGGGAAAAGGAAGAAGGAAAGAGTCGCCATGTAGATTTCCAGTGTGTTCGAAGCAAATCCCTCACTAATCTGGTAGCTGCTGGGGAGGATGTCTCAGAGGACCAGGAGATACTAATGCATCACCCACCTCAAGTGGATGAACTTGATAGGCTAAATGCCCCACTTTCTCAGATGGCTTCTAATGACTTTCAGGATTAGAATCGCTGTGGGTCCGCCCCTTTGGAGCTTTTCTCTGTCTGGGAAGCCCCCAGCCTGCCCTCCCATGGTTTGTCTTGCCCTGAGTAGAAGACATGCTTCTCTTCCATCCTTCCCTTTCTCACATAATTAATGTGTGTCTTCTTTTGTGCCTCTGGCGCAGGGGGTGAAAAGCATTCACTGGTTGTTAAGCTCCTGGCTTTGCAGCAGCCCTGGTGACTTGAAAATTTTGGTTGGGTCTGGTGCTGTTCATTGAGTCTTTGCAGAACTGCAAAAGCAGGGAGGGAGGTCAGGACTCCTATTGCCTCATTCAGCAAAGCTATCCTCATCCTTTATGCTCTGTTCTTGTTTTTTTTTTGTTTTTGTTTTGTTTTGTTTTATACCAGGCAAATTATTTAACAGCAGAGGGACCAAATTTAAAAAGGAGACAATCTCTATTACAAGCAGGCACTGATGGGATGCTCACTAGATATTAATGAAGATGCTGTTCCTGGTAACTTCTACACCCAGAGGGAGTCTGGGAAGAACTGGGCTGTCCTTTGTTCATAATGTCTAAAAGGAAATTCTTAAGAGCTTAAATTCAGTCTTGTTTTTCATTATTGCAGTGAACAATCCAGAACTATGTATTTACAGGAAGGATAAAGGCATAATAATGTTTATGAAACCTTCTTAGCATCGAGGTTTTTGAACTTAAATTATTTGAAATGAACTTAAAACTCAAGAACCGCCTTACCAAATCAGGCCATTTTGACTCTCCTGGATATCAGGATATTTCACTTTTTGAAACAGCCTATCAGCTGCTCACACAGTGACTAAGAAAATGATACTCTATCTCCCAAGCAAGGGTGAGTTGGAGGGACAATGGCCTAGTAATTTTGTTTGATCTGCCAGCTCTGTATTCAAGACACACAATGCATGTCAGCTCTGATCCCCAGCCCCCAGGACTGAACCACCTTCCCTGTTACCTCCCTGGCTATTAACAGTACAGCTACATTTAAAGTCTAGAACCTGAAGTGTGTGTCTTGGGAGTATTTCCCATTTTGTGGAAGAAGTTGTCCTTCCAAACATCAACCCAGAGCATGCACTCATCACAAATTTCCAAGAGACACAAGTTCCTTAAGGCAGGAACATGATTGGTTTTCTTAAATTCCATCTGAGATTCTGTTGGGCACTAATTGATTCCATTTTATGACCGTCCTAGTTACACTCCTCCAGAGGTAGATTCAGATGGATGTTGAAACCAACTCCTTCAGGCTTGAAGAACATGAGTGTTAATATGTGTGTTCTCTGTGTGTGTGCCCAGTATCAGTGGAAATCAAGCTGTTCCTACTCTGAGTAGCCATATGGGTTAAATGGAGCTCTCCCCCACCACTACACCCCCCAAATCCTCATTACCGTTGGCATCCATTTGCAAGGCCAATGACCAGGGTGTTAGATTTTGGGTTACTTTCGTAGCCAGAGTTTAATTTCTATGAAACTGGCTCATAATTGAGGTCAAACTTGGCTTTGACCTTACTAGTACTACAATACCCAGTAGTGGTTGGCCAGCCCAGATAATTATTTGATGGTGCTTTTATGCTTTTCATTTTATTTCTATGCCATCTCAGAGGAAACTTGAATGAACTGTCTGTATAGTCTGTATGATATATAACTTGTTATATAGTTTATTCACGTGTAAGTATAAATGTGTCACAACTAACACCTAAAACTAACTAGTCCTTGCTTAGGTAAAAAGCCAGGTATGAAAAGTATGGCTTGTACTTAACACTTTGTTATATGTAAGTGATTCATTTCCTTAGGCTTTCAAGAGCTAGGTGTTTTTTCCCCCCAAATTGGGCTAATGTGCTTTTGGCCCTAAACCATGGGATGTGAGCAAGCTGGAAATCTGTGGAAATCTGTGGCGATATGCTCCACGTCACCAGGTGGTGGTGCCTGAGGGAAAAGTTGGGCCTACAGGTCCCTCTGGAGGAAAAGGTGGTTTCTTCTGTACCATGGCCCTTCTCAACCTGGAGCTCAGTATCGTCATCGTGTGGCTCCCCTCAGCCACAGCTGCTCTCTGGCGGGGCCAGGACATTCCACAGTGGGAGGGCCTCAGTTCTCTCAGTAAGAAGAGCTGGGTTGTCATTCCCTTCAGAGTCGGTCAGTGATCAGCCAGGCAAAGGGTGTTTCCAATGAAAGAGGAACTCAGGTTTGGTATTTTTTTTCTAAGTGCCTAAATAAGTAAGCCAGGCAGTTTATACAGAAACATTTTTGTAAGAACATGGTTTTGCTCAGAATATCTTACTCAGAGGCCTGTCAACAATTCAAGATGAACCTGAACTTGAGGTTTAGAATGAGTTTGCATCATGTTATGTATGGCCAACTGGGAAACATCTACCATTGAGAAGTTGGAGATCCGATAAAGAGCACTAACATCAAGTGAGATTACTTAGTGGTTAAGGTATTGAAAGAGTAACAGCAAAAAGGGTAGGGAAGAAAGTAGTTGGATTTACTGCACAATATGCAGCAGCTAATACTAAAGTGCACAGTGTGAGATCTAAGGTATACAGGTATAGGAGAAGCTGTGGAGTGAGCCCAGGTAGGGTGGGTGTATTCGCAAATAATGTTCTTCAGTGAGTAGAAACAATCAGAGCGCAGGCTTTCATTCAAACTGTCATGAAGTGTGACATGGAGTCTATCAGTTGTCAATAGAAAGATGAGAATTTCTGTAATTCAATGCCACTTCTTGCCATCATTTTGAAATTATTAAAATGGGCACGGCAGGTTCAAAAAGCAAACCTAATGCCCTCACTGGAGATGGAGCCACACTGACGCCCTGGGCGGGATCACCTCTGCAGGAGGACATTACATTTTCTCTTAAAGGCAAAATGTGTGTAAGTTTTGCCTCTTTACTTTGTATTTACTTTTAATTGCACTTGTTCACCTACCAGTGTTTACGAAATCCTATATTTGGGATGCTTTTTCTATAATAAAATATTATCATTTGTGTGTCCATGTTGTTTTCTGGCAGCAAACTAGAAATGAAGGCATTGAGGAGTGAAAGGAGTGCTCCGGCTGCCTGGAACAGCGCCGCCGACTTGAGGTGCAGCTTGAGCCTCCTTGTGCTTTGCCCTCCCGAGTTATAGTTCACAGGTTCCAGAGCTGTTAATGATCTGTTTGAGTTCCTGTTTAACTTGGATTTCAGATCCTTTCAGCCCTCAAATGCAGTTTAGTAGGACCCCGTAAAACCCAGTTAGGTAAAAAGACTCAAAGACTTCAATGTTCTGGTTCTGGATTAAGGTGAGCAAGGAACCACGGCAAGAATGAAAGGTGGCGAGAAGGCAGGCGGCGTCTAGGCGGGCCCCTTGGAAACACTGTTCCAGAGCCACTTGCTTACCACTTGCTTATCCGTGGGTGTCTGTCTTTGGCCCCACAACTGTCAGATGGCTCCTGGGCTCCCTCAGCTCACTTAGCCTGGAAGCTTATTGGTGGTCCAATCACAGGGGGTCCTAAAGCAAGCCTGTCCCTCCCTAGCAGGCCTGCCTTTGTCTCAGAGGTCATGAACACACCTGAAGCTGTGGCCTGTTGACCTAGTCTCACTGCTGGGACACAGGCTACACAGACTGTTCCTCTCTTCAAGGGGCTTTTGTAATAATGGACAAGGCAGCTCTCTATAGAAACAGTCCAGATCACTCAGCCCCCAAAAATGGAGTAGCCAATTTTTACTGACTACAGAGCACACGAGAATTTTAGAAGTGACACATGAACCAATTTGTGAAGGAGAAATACTAGTTTTGGATCCATAAATATAAGGGGAGGAAGGTGTTCCAGGCCAACTCAACTACACGAGCAAAGGTGAAATAATGGCTTATTGTTACCGGAGAGGAGGCTAGACTAAGAACCGCTGTAGCCAACACAAGGGTGTTCAGTGTCTGACTGGGATTCCCCAAAGGATTTAAAGCAGAGTGACATCAGATGTGAAAGAATTTCTTTGGTGCCTGGGGAGATGACAAGCTTGAAAGGAGGGCCAGGAAAGAAAGAGTCCATTAAGAGGCCACGATGACAGACTCCACAAGCAATACCGGTTGCTAGGGTGGACGGGGGAGTCATGTAAGTTTCTGGCTTGAACAACTGGGTACACTGAGCAAGAGGAAGAGTTATGGAGGCAAGACAGTTCCATTTGAGACGGCTTTAGATTGAGCTTCCAGATGCTAACCTGGCAGGCAATTAGCTACATGGGATCTAGGATTTGGGTTGCAGGGACAGGCAGGTTGGTCAGAGGGACATTCAAGATTAGCACAAAAGTGGTGGTGAAGCAATATAGGGGGGTTCACATGAATGAAGAGGGCAAGGCCACTGCTCTGAGGAATGCCAGTACTGTGTGTGGTGGTGGAGGAACAACTGAGAAGTCCGGTGGCAGTGTTTTTGTTTTTTTTTTTTTAAAGATTTATTTATTTATACAAGCACTGGGTACAGTCAGAGGCGCGGGAGGGTGAGAGAATTCACCAGAGCCAGAGCGGGGAGCAGAGCAGGCAGAAGGACCAAAGTACACTGCTGAGGGGAGCAGCGGGCGGCAGGAGAGGTCTGCGCGCCATGTGGGACCCCCCCATCTGGTGGCCGGGAAGCAGCTGGGGATCGAACTGGCACTGCAGAGGCTGCGGGCAGCTTCACAACCCAGCGCTCAACCGCTGCGCCACCGGGGAGGCCCGGCAGTGAGTTTTTTTAAAAAACTGTCAATAGTGTGAGTTGAGCATGTCGACCAAGTAAGGTAAGGACTGAAGAGAATCCAATGGCTATGGCAGGACCGGTGACCAGGGATATGATTATGAGAATAAACACTAGCATGTTTTAGCAGGAATCTAGAAAACTTAAATAAGGGACCAGGAAAATGAATAACTATAAGAAAGTGAAAATCAAAATCAACAAAAAACTATGAACCAGAGACAATTTTAGGGGGGCGGGGGCGGGAGGAGAGGGATTGGGGTCAGAATGGGGGGGCTGCAATTGTATGGGGAATATAACAATAAAATTTATAAAAAAAAAAAAAATAAACACTAGCATGTTTTACATAGAATAAGAGGGCTATATTTCATACAAGGAACAAAAACCAGAGTGATGGGAGAGGGAAATGAAGTAACAAAAGCAACTGCGGAATATTCTTCACATAATACTTACACCTCTACCAGGACAAAACCAAATATCCACCACACCTCCCATATCCTGAGTGGGTCACTTTCCCCTTTATCAAAGATGGCTGCTACTTAAGTAAAAATATCCCCAGGAAGTTTCCCGAAGCAAAGGGCCCATCAGTTGACAGCACTTTTGTCAGCCAGTATCGGGTTGCCTGGGCAACGGGAGATTCTACTGCCCAGAAACACTTAACTGGGTGGAAACAGCACAGGTCTCCCATGGACACCCATTCAGATGACTCCTCGGGGAGCATAAAAGCTGGTCCCCTTCTCCGGTGGCAGAAGAGCCCTGGGGACAGATACGCTGCTGCAGGGCACAGTTTGCAGACAGGAGGCTGAAAGATACCACCAGCACTCTGCCTCTTGAGCTGAAGAGCCCCATTTGCTTTAAAACACATCACAGATTCACACTCCTGTTTTCACACAGTTTATTCTGAAATTTCAAAGTGAAAAAGTGGGCATTTTCCCCTAAAACAAATCATCCCTGCCACTCCCAACACGCAGCCTATCCCCACAGCTCCTGTCACTTCTCTTACTTCTCTTCACCAGCGGTAGATGGTTTAGGACACACTCTTGCAAAACAGGCAGGGGCCCAGACCCCAACTATCTGGTAATACAAAGAAACTACAAAGTTACAAAAAAAGAAGGACTTACTGCCTTTTCACTAACAGACTAGGAACTAGATGAAGGGGCAAAGAGGTTACCTTCATCCAGAATTAACACTTCCCTAATCGTCTTTTTTTTCCCCCTAAGACATTAAAACCCAAAGCAGTTTCACTGACAACTGTAACTCTGATATTCCGTGTTTCTTTTCTGAAGGGCTAAGCTAGGACATACTTCCCTTTGAAAGTTGATTTTAACAATCTCAAGACTGGCAGAAATCTGCCTCCCAGGCGTAGCTTGGCCATGACGCACTGCAGTAGGCAAAGTCACCACACGTGATGCTTGAAGAGTTACCAGAATTTTAAAAATTAAAAATGCATTAACATAGAGCCTCCACGTTTTCTGACAAATTCCCTCCAAAGAGCGCCGTAGCTATGAAAGAAAAGGCACTTTGTGCTAAAATTCAGAGGATCTCTCATGAGAGACACCACCGCAGAGAGGCCCAGCCAGGCCAAGCTGCAGGCCACCCTTCACGGCGGAGAGGAGCGTCCCTCAGGCAGGCATCTGCAAAGGAAAAAACTGAAATCATGATTACAAGGCAAAATGGTTACTTAAAATTGGGAGAGAAAAAATACCAGGAGAGGAGACACATCACCAAGCATTGAAGAATGAACTGTACAGGATGTGTAGACTGGCTCTGCACCTTCTATTGGTTTGGTTCCTTCACCACTTCCAAGAAGGTTCTGGAGACCTCGCAGGAGCAGGAACAGCACCATAACAAGAGGGCTCCAGGCCTCCTGCCTCCGCCTGGGCTCTCCCTGCTGTGTTCCCAGGAATAAATTGAGTTCCTGTTGGCAGCACTTACAGGTATTGCTGATCCATGACAACATCTGTCTTACGGATTTTTTGATATAGTCGTGATGAGAAAGTCAAGATTTTCCATGTGATCTGGGATTCCTTGGCAATGACCAATAGCTTCTGGGCCTTCTAAAAGCCACCACAGATCAAAGTGGTATCCCTCTCCCCTCAGCACTCAGAAAAGCAGCATGAGGAATTTCGATGAGCAAGAGGGAGAAGATAAACCGATGGGCTGAGGGTCTTTATCCTAGTACCATAAATAAAGTGCACCGTGAATGGAGGCTGTAAAAAGCCACTCGCCGAAGGCCGAGGTATGGGGAGAAACTACCATCACCACCCCTCAGAGAATGGTGGATCAGTTTCTTCAGCCAAAATGCTGGCTGCTGAGGCTTTCATTATTGCTTTATTTCTTTAGTACTATGGAAGTTTTAGCTGTAAAGAAAAAAATATGAAATACTTGATGGGCTTGGCAGAAAGCATGTCAAAAAAATCACAGGAATTGGCTGACATTTGCTGAGTACGTGTTACAATCTCATGAATGTTGGATGATGGCTGTTTTTTCCCCTTCGTTCTGATGAACTTAGAAAAACTCAAGTTTTTTTCAAATACCTATCAAATTGGCTCATGAAGCTTCTCAAGAAGCAGGACTGCTGTTTATGGCTGATGTGTAGAAACGGTTGTCTTTGCTGTGTAAGTTTTCAGATGCACGGTGGAAGAGGATCCACTCACATGTCAGGGGATATTACCATGACATATTGGTGGGTTCCATAAATTTCTCCAAAGTCCTTTTTAAAAAATGTGTGAGGAAAACCATGATGTTGTACAAAGAACTCTGTGTCATGTAGGATTCCATTTCAAGGGCACTATTTTGCTGCTTTCATGTAGGAAGGTATTGCCCCCCGCGCAGTCAGGCCCTCAAAGCGTTTGTAAGTATAATTGATGAAGACCCAGTCTTTGTTCTTGTAGTCAGTCTCAGGGTGGTTACTTGTGGCCACTGGGGAAGAAACAAATGTGAGATTTGATTCACTACCTCATCCTGATGGACTATGTCCTGAGGACAGGACTCTCTGAAGAACATACCACAGTTTCAACTTGGGAAAGGTTCTTTTTCCCTCCGTGAATTTTCTACATTTGTTTGCCATTTGTTTTTCATAAATATTTTCAGAGTTTTATTTTTCCATTTCTCTCCTTTCCCTAACCTTTAATAAATAACAACACAAAAACAGACCTTTCAAATTTACCAACCCAGCTGAACAATCTAAACATGGGAGTTCATGTTTATTTTCCAGTCTACAAGGTCTCACTGCTTCCCAGAACAGCAGTGGAAAAACGCTTACAAAGAACCTGAAGAACTGAAGTTCCTCTCCAAGTTCCCCACCC